TATGTATGTATGTATGTGTATGTATCTATGTATGCATGTATGTATGAATAGATGCATGTATGTGTATGTGTCTATGTATGCATGTATACATGCATGTATACATAGGTACATACATTTATATACAATATCATTTAGTACAGTATATTAATCTATACAAACCTAATCTAATCCTAACCTAAGTCCGTTCTATTCTATTCCAGTCCAGCCCATTGTATTTATGTTTCTATTTCTATGGCTGGTTCTATGTCTATGTATATGTCTACTCCTATTTTATGTCATGACTTCTTGTATTCTGGTATATGATATGATGTTAGAGTATAAGATACCATGTCATGTACAATATAAGTCAGATTATACTATATGATAATATTAGGTCTTGCTTCGCTGTATCATGTTATTTTACATTGAGTTATGTTATATTTTGTTTTCTGTTATATGATACTCTTTTCTGTTATATCATACTATGTTCCATCACATTGCAACATGATATAGTATATCATGTTACATCATACCATGTTACCATACATTTTGTTATACCTACCTATATGTATATATACACATAATAACAATATGTAATGCAATATGTTATGTTATGGTATATTTTATTTTGTTATGCAAACTTGTATCACGGTGTATTAAATCATATTGTTACATATATATATATATATTCCGGTTATATATATATGTATATATATGTATATATATATATATTATTTTATGTTATTCTATTCTATTCTTTTCCATTGTTTCTATCATCTTTTAAGCCAGCAGCCAGAGCCCAGGAGGAGCTTCAGGAGATTCGGGAGTCTCTCCTGGCGGCAGGCTTCGAAGCTACAGAGATCCAGGCCGGCTTAGGGTTGATAGGGATGTGTTAGAGGTGTTTTTTGTAAAGATGTGTGTGTGTGTGTGTGCAGTTTGTTGTAGGGTTTATAGGGCTGTCTAGGACTTAGGGTTTACAGTGGTGGGTGGGGCAGTTAGCATTTATGGTTTGTGTCTCAGGGTTGGTGTAGGCCAGGACGCAGGGTTAGAGTTCGGGCTTGTGGTTACACTTGGGATTGGGGGATGGTGTTGAAAAGATCAATGTTCGGGCTTGAGGTTTAAGAGTGAGGGTTGCGGACTATGAGTTCCTGGTGTATCGCTTGGGCTCAATTGTTTAGTGTTTAACTAGGCCCTTTCAAGCTTTTCTGAAACCATCGTCGTGGCCAGTTGTGCCCAAGGCGCACCTGCGCCCTGAACCATAGCTAGTTTTGTAGTTTCTGTTTGGTGCCCGAAAGAGGCTACGATGTAGGTGTCGCTAGCTATTATGTAGACAGCGATGTTGGGCTCAGCATGTCGGATTGGCGGATCCTTGATTCTTTGATTCACAGGATTTTGGGTTGACTTTGGTTGACTGTAGACTGTAGTAGGAATAAAACCCTTTGCTCGGTTTGGTGGCAGTAGCAGTAGTAATGGCTGGGGGGCAATTCCAGCCATACCCTAAACCCTATAAACCCTAAGCCCTAAACCCTAAACCATGTCTATGTTTCGGGAGGCACTTTGCGAACTCCGATGTGCAGCTCCTGGGCCATCGCCCCTGTCTCCTGGAAGGCTGGAACCCCTGAGAATCGAGGTATATACTAGTTGTTCTACAAAGATTTACAGTTACTGTAGTTGTATAAGAATCTTACGATAATATGTCGCAAACCCCATTTCCAGTCACTAAGGCCCTGGCCCTTATACATCACGGTTTAAGCTGCGGGTAGAGGTCGCAAGCCCCTGAATCCTTTACAGAACCCTGAAAGCCCTATAGCTAGACCTGAAAAACCCTAGCTTGAGGAGCCTCAAACTTGCGGATGGAGGGCCCCAGAGTTCGAGGGTCCCCTTCGAAGGGGGAGCCTCTCTCGGTCGGGGCTCTAGGGCTCCCTCTGGAAGCGTAAAACCAGGCTGGGTTGAGTAGCTGCACTCCCAGCCTGCGTTTTCAAACGTGGGCTGGGATTCTGAGTTGTTTCGGGCTTGGGGTCTGAGGTTTGCTGTTTGGGTATCCAAGAGAGAAGGATTCGGCTCGGGTCTCGGATTGTAGCAACATGGACTGCGGTTTAATGCCTCGGATCCTAAACTTCAAAGCCCTTTGCTGTCTATGCTTCTGCGAGGAAGATGGAAGCCGAAAGGAGTTCGGAGGTGCCTACTTCGCATTGCAATGGTCCATGGGTGCTTGAGGTCGCACCAAGTTGTCGAGTCTATTTTTGTGGTTGAGAGACAGAAATGTACCAACACGACATCAGTGTACTCGACACTCATCGCGCTGAATGTTTCCTTATGGGGTGTTGCGAGTGTTAGGGCATGCAGCGAAGAGATCGTTTACAGATCGCAGCATAGGTTATTGCTATACATCATCGTCTGGTCCCCATCGAAGAAATTCTACGTACAGCATCGGTGAGGGCGCAATTTGGGGAATCTGACGACGGGTTGCCTAGTTGCTGACGAGCCTGGCCCACTGCCGATTATAGAGATAGCCGCCACAATTGCTGCAGTGCAAGCTGGAGGGCTTCAGGGTGGTACTGTACTGTTTAATTACGGCCTATAGCATACAAAAGGGTGCAAGGTTCGTTACTAAGTGGTTGAAGGTGCAACCGGCTTCCTTGCGAGGGCTTTACACAATGGCATGGACCCAAATTCAAGCATCTTAGCTTTCCGCATCTACCGCTCACGTCCCTCAGCCTCTTTTGAGCAATCCCTTGAAAGAGGTGCCAATCAGTTGCAAGCACAAGGCTAGCGACGAGGACAAGGAGAACGAGGCAGGGAGATTGACCGTGTAGAACTAATCAGAAGAAGTTGTTGCTGCTTTTTGCTGTTTGTCATGTCAGATTCCGTATAGCATAAGCATCAAGCATTCATTGCAAACGTGTCCATTAAAATCATCTTTAGACTCGTCCGTGGGCTGGGAGGGAGCACATTGCATTCGAAGCTGCAAGAAGTCGTGTCTGCGTAACCTAGCACAGGCAGGTCACAGGATGTGGCAGTTGCGTTTGGTGCCTAAGCTCTGAGCCCACAGGAGAGGCCGCGGAAGATTCTGAAGAGCACTGATGATGTGGAGGCAGATGACGTCAAGGGGCCTTGAGGGGACGAGGTTTTTTGGCTTCTGAACACTCGCCTGTTTGCATAGATTCCCCAAGGAAGTATCACAACAGTCTCTCAGGATAAAGCTTCTTGCACCAAGAGTCATCACCTGTAGTGTTGCAGGTGCTGCCCAGCGGAAGGAATTGTCAGGGTTGGGGTTATACATGGGAGGAGCTTGCATGGGTAAGAACCCCAATAAGAGAAATGGGTTCTGTTTTGTTTTCGCCATCGTGTGCAGTTCCTGTGCAACGGGGTGTGTTTAGTTTTACACCCTTTAGATTTCCATGAAGGTCCCTGGTATTGGGAGTCTTTCAGAAACCCGGCACTGGCAAACACCTGATGCCAGCTGCAAGCACAGAGTAAGCATTAGTTACAGGGTTGAGAGGCTGAGTCTTGTCTATGGCAGTTCTCTACTTTGTAATGGCCATAGTTACTAGTTCTTTCAAAACAACGGGAAACCACGACCTTACTTGCGCCTTGCGGAACGTTCGTTTCCAAAACGGAACGAAACGTCAAGCATCTTTCGTCAAACCTAGGCCTTGTAGAAGCAAACTTCGCCTCATGTATACATCCCCAAGCCTGAAAGCCCGAAGCAGAGACCTTCAGCGACACTTCTTGAGACCCCCAAAACCCAAAGACCCGGCGGCCGGAGACCTCAAACTTGAACCATAGCAGCCTCTTCATGGAGGTTTGAGCCCCCATGATATTCTATATCTAACTGGCTTTTCAGATGCCCCCAAACCCTGTTCTTACTGTTCAGACCGTCGAAACCCCAAAGTCGGAAACCGCGCACCAACGGCGAAACTGCGGGTGGCCCCGGGAAGGCCCGTCCTTCAACGGCGCCGCCCTTGCCCTAGCTTACTTTCATTGAGGGGGTTTATAGGGTTTAGGGTCGTGTTACGTGTTTAATTAGGGTTTAGCTTGCTCCGTCCAGGTCAAGATCTTGGGCCCGGTTTTTTTTGGCTGAGGGTTTGGAGTTCGGGCTTTGCGTGGATTTTGGGGATGATTTGCGCTCATCGTCATCGATAGAACGAGGTTGAGTATGCTTTGTTGCTTGGAGCTTCAGGGCTTTAAGCACCTGGCTTGCGTGGCCCGAGGAGGTATTACTTGTTGGATTGAAGGTTGTTTGGAGTTCTGGTAGCCAGAATCTTTGCACAAGATGCCACGAGTAAGTAGATACATAGAAATGCATACATGCAAGGATGGAAGGATGGCTATATATGTATCTAATATACAAATGCATGGTGGATATATGGACGGATGGATTGATGGGCGGACGGACGGACGGACGGACGGACGGACGGACGGACGGATGGACGGACGGATGGATGGATGGATGGATGGATCTGAAGGTGTGTGGGTATAAACATACATTCGTGAAGCATGTGCTTGTAGCAGTTGTTCTTTCTTGTTTGTGTTGCTGTTTCAGGGCTGTTCCTGAACTTAATCTTTGGTGAGTAATGCCGTTATACTTTGGACTGGAGTACCCGTTGTTTATGTAGTTCTTCGTAGTCGTAGTTCGTTTCACTGTGCTCTTGTATTCGTGAGGTTTGGTAGGTGCTTTCGTGGTCACATCTGCGTTTGCAGGCTGAAAGAGCGCCAACCCTTGCAGGTAAAGGCATTAATTACAATGTCGAAACGAAACATCGTTAACCCCGATCACAAATCTTGACTAATCTCTAATCCGTGAGATGCGTCGAAAGCGGAACCAAGGCACATGCCAAGACTGTAAACCAAGACTGTCTTAAATGGCCAAGCAGACCCAGTATGGTGCCTAAGCGCCGAAAAATTGTTACCAGAACGCGTGCCTGCATCGTCCCTGTTGAATTCTGGTATACCCCGCATTGGCGAAACTCTAAACCCTAAGCCCTGAGCCCTATAGACCCTATATGCAAACTAGGCCCCCCCTATATTTAAGCTGAGGTTCGGAGCGGCTCCGACTGACGCGGTCTCCGAGTCCGGAAGCGATGACCGGCGCCGGGAGCCTGCGCGAGCTACCAAGGCTCCTGGATTTTGGGAGTTGTTGTAGAGCTTTAGGGAGCTAGGGGTTGCAGGGCTTCATGGGTTTTAGCGGCCTTGAAGTTTGAGGATGTTAAGGATTCAGGGCTCTGGAGCTTAAGGCTTTTTCAGTTTGGGGTTTGCAATTTACAAAGGTATTGCCCTCGTATGTGGGCTGTGGCAGCTGGCTCAACATGAAAACCTGTTCCCCTGTTTATAGGCCACCTTTACAGCATACACTTGTTTTTGATTTTTACGTTGCTGCATAACCACCCCCCTGGGCCCTATACTCTATGGCAACATGACACTTCTCGAGTGAGGTTGTCGAGCTATGTGGCAGATTATGATAGATTATGCAGATGATGTCCGGCTTGGGATCCAGAACTGGCATTGTGAACCATCCACAAAGGTTCTTCGGTTTTTGCAATTGAAACTCCTGCACTCTTTCCTGACAGGTTCTGCCGTCCAAGCTGGACTCAGTGCCTCTGTTGCTCGGCAGCCTCGAGTATGCGGGGTTGACTTCGGGTTAGGGTTCAGGTGTTGAGGGTGTAGGGGTAGGGTTCACTTGTTTGAGGCTTAGGGTCAAGGTTACGGGGCTTTAGTGTTCACTTGGGAAGGTACCCTTAGATGAACATGAGATTTTGCCGTAAGGAGCATCTCAGAAAGAGGATTGAACTTCGCATGTTCCTGTTTGGAGCAACTCCAAATGCCTTAAGTCAAAGCCTCTGACCCTTCAACCCATAGCTTTCAAAGCCTTCAACCCTCAGCCGTAGCAGCCGTAGCACTGACCCGAGCTCGATAGACCCGCAAGCCGGTACCCCTGATGGAAGACAAGGCTGCAATCAAATGTCGGTATTCAGCGACCTTCCCACCCTCCTGCGCGAGACGCCCGAACCCTGAAATGCCCCAGCGCCTTTCCAGCTAGAGCTGGCTTGTTTTGCGATTTCCCAAACTGTCGGCTGAAGATTTTCGACTCCAGATTTCGCAGCCCTCGCTGTTTGCAGTCTCTGACACAAAGCTGCCCAGAGGATCAGCGACGACCGCAAGCGGCTGACGCGCCAGCGGATCGAGACCACGTTGAGCCACTCAAAGGCCATCCAGGCCGGCGGGCCTCCGAAAGTTTAGGGCTTAGAGGGTTTAATTATAGGGGTTTAGAGGTTTAGGGATTTAGGGGTTTAGGGGGTTAGGGGTTTATGGGGGTTTAGGGTTTAGGGTAGCGGTTTAGGGTTTAATTTAGGGTCCCAGATCAGCCGTTGCAAACATTGCGGTAGCTGACGGATCAGGGCAAAGAGCGCTGCAGCCCCTGCTCAAAAAAAGGGGTTTAGGGTTTGTGGACCAATAATTATATGCCGTCTATCCCATGTACCCTCCAGCTTGCGAAACTTCAAGAGCTTCTATCGACTAAGTGTATGGTGCACAGCTTGCGGACGGAGCCGTTTGCTCCGTGCTAAATGCGTGTAGCCTACTACACGCCACATCCTCGTCCAGTTACTCATCTCCGGCTTCCTATCTCCGCAACACCTACGGCCAGACACGAGTTCACACACCTCTCAGTACCGCGCCTCAGGTTCAAGCAGTTGATCCTAAACAATCCCTTGACTCAATCCTGAAGTTTGCACGTGTGTATGGGGCTTGCGGACTCCTAGTAGGTCCTAGAAGATATGCGCCGAACTTAAAGGTGCACGGCGCAAGCTGAGCCCTGACTCTCCAGCAGCGTCTGCTGCGACCTGTAGCACGCTCTGGTCCTTCCTTCCCCCTACACGACATCATCCCTCGCGCCTGGCGAAAACAAGTGATCTAATCTATGACATAAACAGCGTCCAGCTGGGACTGGCTGCTCGAAAGTCAAGCATTAGCGGCGAAATCCTAACCGAATCCCTGTAAACCCTACACACCCTAAGCTCAAACCGCAAACCCTTTCACACCCGATTGTAGACCCCTTAACAAAAGAGTATGATGAGCCATAAACCCTCAAAGTTCCAAATCTGAAGCTCCAGACGACGCTACAAGGCCTTACACAACAACGGCCCAGGTGGTCCCTCTTCAGGATATTTTCATGGATTCAAACCAGACTATCATCATAGTCCCCCGGAATGGAAATCCTGTCATACAGAGGATTGGATAATTGGCACAGTATGAACATCCGCTTATAGCGACCATGCGTTTGTAATGTGATATAGAACTTGGTAAGGATCCCGCATTGCGTAATGCGCCGCCCAGAACCCTACCCAGTAAGCCACCCGCCCTATGTTAGACCTCAAAGCCCTCAACCCCACAGCTCTTTGAAAGACGGAACCCGTTTGAAAAGGACAGCTCTTGACAGGCCCAGGTTGTGAAGTATCGCGATCGGGCCTCCGGGAAGCTTGTCGAAGCTCGTGGCTTTGGCTTTGTTGGAGCGTTCGGGTCGTCCTTGTTACACAAGTAGTGTGTCCACATACGTGTCTCTCTCCTTCCCACTCATGCAACAATAAATGTATATATATATATACATGTATATGTATATATGTATGTATGTGTGTATATATATATATGTATATATATATACATATGTATGTATGGATGCATACATGCATGCATGCATGTATGTACGTATGTATGTATGTACGTATGTATACACACAAACATATATATACATGTGTGTATATATATATATGTGTGTGTGTAGACATAACACACACACACATATATATATATATATGTATATATATATGTGCATATAGATGTGTGCACCTGTCCATCCATCCATCCATCCATCCATCCATCCATCCATCCATCCATTTATCTATCTATCCATCCTTCCTTCCATCCATCCATCTATCTATCTACCTATCGATCTATCTATCTACATGTACAGTCATACATCGTTGCAGAGTTTGGAGTTTGTTCGCTTCAGGGGTTTCTGAAGCTTAGGGCCCCAATTGGAGTTCAACGGTTTGGAGTCTCAGGGGTCCCCATGCAGAGATATGTCGTCAGCAGCGC